GCTATGTCATGTAAATCTGACAATGTCGCCAACACCTTAGCGAACATACTTACGACATTGTGCGAAGTTTGTTACGATTTCGCCACCCGGCTGGTCCACGGTTCGAATCGTCGGGTGCAAAATGGTTACGCGCCCTTAGACGTGCGTGGGTGAGTAGAGGTATTTTTCGCCGATGTCCCACAAATGCTCTCGCCAACCACCCAAGCGACCAAGTGGACCCTGATTCACTTTTTCGCCTCTCTTGCACTTCCAACGGGCACCTATGTTGTGATGCATAAACCCTGGCCATCCAGAAGCACACCTTCTCTCACTTCACCAGTTTCAACCTGGACCCAGCTATATGTCACAATGAACAAGAGTGATTGCACTAGGAAAGAGTTGGGTACATGTAGGAAACCCTAAACTTACTGTACCCCATAGTAACTACCCCACTACAGCCTAAACAAACTGTAGTAGACATAACATTTAACACACCCCCATAGGCAAAGTGGGGGAGAGCAAGGGGTCACACGACCATTCAAGAAAGGCAAATCAAACTCAGGGTGGATCACAACGTCACCACACACTCTGAGCACAAGCAAAGGGCCACAAGGCCAGTCCACATGCAGAGGCATATATGCAACACAAACAGCACAGTGATCTCTACCTAGCAAAGCAAGCATGCAGGTATATATATATGTAAATAGATCACAGTACAAGCAAAACCTACAGCAAGTGAGGAAAAGTGGGCACAAGCCCTAGCATAGTGCATAAATGCTGATGATCACCAGACTGAAGTGCCTTGGTGAATATATCAGCAGTGTTGGCCCGAGTGGCCACGTAACGCAGACGAAGCTGACCACGCTGCTGCAACTGTCGAGCCATGAAGTAACGCAGAGCGATGTGCTTCGTTCTGTGCTCCAGTCTGTGCTCCTCACACAAGGCAATGGTAGCCTTGTTGTTGACGTACAGCACTGGAGGAGAACGAGGCCGCTCTCCCAAGTCAGTAAGCAAGTAGGTGAGCCAGCGTAACTCCTGTGCACTAATGGCTGTGGCGTAGATCTCAGCCTCACAACTGGAGCTGAGAACTGAAGACGAACGTGTAGAACGCCAAGAAACTGAACCAGAGCCAAGGCTGAAGGTGTAACCCTCTGACGACCACTGCGTAGCCGGGTCGTCAACCCAAGAAGCGTCTCAGTGCCCAGTGAGGACAACTAAGCTCCTCCCTCCAAGCAAGAGTCCCATGCCTGATGTACTGCACAAGTAGCGCAGTACCCTCTTAGCAGCATCCATTGTGCACCTTTCGGTGCCAACCAGGAGCCACGTAGCGAGCCAGAAGGCCAAGAGGGTACGCGAGGTCAGGACGAGTGCAAGTCATCAGGTATATGAGACAGCCAACTAGCTCTAGGTACGGACCACTCGGCTCTACGGATTCGTCCGAAGGTGGAGCTGAGAGCGAGTGACCTGTAGCCAGAGGAGTGGCCTGTGCCGAGGACCAGGTGAAGCCGAAGCGCTGAAGGACCTGCTGCACCATGTGTGACTGAGTCAGTGTGATGGTGCGGCGTGCTCTGTCCCGAGTGATCTGCAAGCCAAGGTAGCTACGCAGTTCACCCAGGTCTATGCACGTGTGTCTCTTCTGCAGCTCCGACTTCACGTGGGCGAGAGCCTCAATGCCAGCAGTGGCAAAGACCAAGTCGTCGACGTACACGAGGATGTAGAACGGCGGCAGCGAAGTGTCGGTGCGCAGAAACAGCGACGGGTTAGCAGTAGAAGGCGCGAACCCAAGAGTCGCAAGTGTAGTCCTCAGAGTGTTGTGCCACTCACGTGGCGCCTAGCGAAGACGATAGACCAGCCGCCGGAGGCTCCACTGGGTACCAGGAGGGAACGACTCAGTGAAGCCAGGAGGGCAGCGCAGCCAGATCTCCTCGTGCAGGCTGCCCTACAAGAAAGCTGTGCTGAAGTCAAGAGAGTGAAGCTCGTAGTCACGCTGAGCGGCAACGTGCAGTAGCACCCGAAGAGTGGTCATCTTCGGGGTGGGGGAGAAGGTCTGGAAGAAGTCTACTCCCTCTCGCTGATTGAAGCCTCGAGCAACGTAACGAGCCTTGAAGACAGGTGGAGAACCTGGCGGCCGCTTCACCCAGAAAATCCACATGCCACTGACGATGTTCGCCCCGCGAGGGGGAACCTCGTCGACGTAAGTGCCAGTGGACTTCCAGGATGCCATCTCTGCGTCCATGGCTAACTGCCACTGAGAGGAGTACTCACCCGCGATCGCCTCAGCGTAAGAGCGCGGGGTCGGGATGTTTGGTGCATCCGGGTCTCCTCAGGTGCAATCAGCATGGACACGAGATGAGGTACAGCGGCGACAAAGCACTCAAACTCCTCCTGCCTGTCCTCAAGGACGTCCGTGCCAAGAGCACACTCAGCCCTGACGGACGGAGGACAGACAGACTCAGACTCAGCAACAAGACCCGCAGCGTAGTCTAGACGACAGTGAGCAGCAAAGTCGACAAGCTCAGCAACTAAGGCAGACGAAGCAGCTGACTCAAAGAAAGGGTCAGTGACAGCAGTGGCTAGGAGACGCGTGACAGTAGGACTAGCAGCACGAAGAGATTCAGACTCCGGGTCAGCAAGGGTAGGAAGAGAGGACGCAGGAGGAGAAGGCAGCGGGACACGCTGTGGAGCAGTGGAAGGATGAAGCGCCACCTGGTGAGTGCCTGGGACAGCAGGAGGACGCTGATGCGGGACACGACGACCTGTGCGAGCAGCACGAACAGGTGACGCAGACTGAGACTGAGGCGACACAGGACGAGACTCAGGCTCACGATGCTCCGTAAGACCGCCTGTCAGACCAGTGTAGGGTGGCGAGGGCCTGCAGGGGCGGCGCGCAGTGGAGGAGAAGCTGCGCGCGGGCGGCGTGGTCATGCAGGGGCAGCGCGCCGACCTGATGGGCCTGCAGGGGCGGTTCTCGGGCCTGACGGGCCTGCAGAGGCGGCTCAGGGTCCTGACAGGCCTGCAGAGGCGGCTCGGGGGCCTGACGGACCTGCAGGGGCGGCTCGAGGGCCCTACTAGCTTGCAGGGGCGGCGCACTGTCCTAGGGCAGCAGGAGGCAGCGCGAGGGCTACAGGACGGCGCGCAGGCAGAACGAAGGGTGGGGCGCGCGAGGGCACTCTAGCAGAGAAAAAAGGGGGGGGGGGGGGGGGGGGGTGCACGAGGGCGCACGAGCAGAGAAAGGCGCACGAGGGCGCACGTAAGGTAGAGCGCACGAGGGCTCTTTTAGCGGAATAGTGGGCCCGTAGGAGTAAGCGGTCCTAGGTGGCAACCTAGGCTCGTGATACCATGTCAGAATGAACAAGAGTGATTGCACTAGGAAAGAGTTGGGTACAAGTAGGAAACCCTAAACTTATTGTACCCCATAGTAACTGTCGAAAATAGTTGAACGAGGATGAGTTAAGGTTAAACTAGGGCCTAGGCTTAGGAGCCTAGGCCCGAGATTAGATGTCGAGCGGGTTTTGCCTAGGGTGAGGTTCGAGTGAGTTGGAAGAGGAGTTGGGAGAATGGGATTTCACTATAGATTTCGAAGTACATATAGCAAAGGAAACAAATGAAGAGGTGCACCACCTACAAATTTAATAACTACACTACAGCTAGAACTACATGCAGTTATAATAAACATACTACCCCACTACAGCCTAAACAAACTGTAGTAGACATAACATTTGACACTATAATACAGGGTCATCATTTTGCCCGCTTGCTTTAAAGTCCGAGTACAGCATGGTTATTTTCAAGTTCAAGATTCTTGAACTTGAAACCGTCAAAAACAGGGTTACCCAACTTTGTTTGACGGGACTCTCGCGACTCTGGGGCAACGCCAAGCGACACTCTCTCCTCATTGGCTTTTGAGCACAATCGCAAAACAGAACCGAACGTCGCTCAGGTTGGCCCGCTGTTTGGCTCTCACATATCTTGAACACCTAGTAGTACTCATGACCAGCCTAGTCCCTCAAGTAAGTAGGAAGCCAATGCGGCGTCAGCTAGTTCCCTTGACCCCGTGTTTTACGCCAACTCACGTCACTCATGCTGTCTCGCCAATAGTTGGGCAGCACAAGCATAGTGTCGCTATCGATATTTACATACGTTTTCGCGTTACTCACACAGAACGTGAGACAAACGAGTGCTTCGCCATGCTACCCATGTTTAACCCGCGTCGTCACCCGCGCTCCCCCTCGCCTCCCGCGCCCGCCCTCGTCACTCGCGCCCGCCCCTCGTCACTCGCGCCTGCCCTCGTCACTCGCGCCTGCCCGGGATACTGTGCTTGCCCTCGTCATGCGCTTCCCTTCGTCACCCGCGTTCCCCCTCGTCACGCGCGTTTCCCTTCGTCGCGCGCATTTCCACTTGTCGCGCATGCGCCTTGTCTTCACGCACGCTTCCCCTCGTTGCGCTCTCTCCTCCCCTCGTCAAGCGCGCTTCCCTTCGTGACGCGCACTCCTCCCCTCGTCATGCGCTCAACCATTCATTCGCGATCTTCCATATATCACTAGCTGAAGTTGACGAATCGCGCATGTGTCGTTGCCCCAGTTGCTCCTCGATCCCCTCGCCTCCCGTCGTCGCCTCCGCCACCCCAATTGGGAAGCATTTGTCCTTATCGCCACTACCCACAAAGCCATCGACACCATCGAGTGTAACAACTCCCCCATACGCCCTCGCTCCTTCCAGCCCCAGTGAGTGCGTACTGATGTGAGGGGCAGAGCGGGAGACAGAGGGGAATGGACAGCAGAGGGGGGAATGGACAGTGAAGGAATGATTGGGGGGGCGGGGGACGGGAAGGAAACGGGCGGAGGAGGTGAGAAGGACAGAAGGGGAGAGACAGAGGGGGAAGGACACAGGTGGAGAGACAGAGGGTGAAGGGCCGAGGGCGAGAGATAGAAGGGGAAGGACGGAGGGGGAGGAGCAGAGGGGGAGGGGCAGAGATTGAGAGACAGAGGGTGAGAGCAGGTACTTCCCCCACTCCTTCTGCCATGCTTTCCCCCTCCCTCCGCCCTGCGTCCCCCCTCCCTCCGCCCTGCTTCCCCCCTCTTTCTGCCATGCTTCTGCCCTCCCTCTGCCATGCTTCCCCCCTCCCTCTGCCATGCTTCCCCCCTCCTTCTGTCATGCTTCCTTCATCATCCCTCAGGCCTGCTTCCCCCCTCCCTCCGCCCTGCTTCACTTCTCCTTCTGCCATGCTTCCCCCCTCCCTCTGCCCTGCTTTCCCCCTCCCTCCGCCCTGCGTCCCCCCTGCCTCCGCCCTGCTTCCCCCATCCCTATGCCCTGCTTCCCCACTCCCTCTGCCATGCTTCTCCACTCCCTCCGCCCTGCTTCCCCCCTCCTTCTCCCACGCTTCCCTCATCCGTCTGGCCTGCTTCCCCCCTCCCTCCGCCCTGCTTCCGCCCTCCTTCTGCCATGCTTCCCCCCTCCTTCCGCCCCGCTTCCCCCCTCCCTATGCCCTGCCTCCCCACTCCTTCTGCCATGCTTCCCCCACCCTCCGCCCTGCTTTCCCCCTCCCTATGCCCTGCTTCCTCACTCCTTCTGCCATGCTTCCCCCCTCCCTCTGCCCTGCTTTCCCCCTCCCTCCGCCCTGCGTCCCCCCTCCCTCCGCCCTGCTTCCCCCCTCCTTTTGCCATGCTTTCCCCCTCCCTCTGCCATGCTTCCCCCCTCCCTCTGCCATGCTTCCCCCCTCGTTCTGTCATGCTTCCCTCATCCCTCTTGCCTGCTTCCCCCCTCCCTCCGCCATGCTTCCGCCCTCCTTCTGCCATGCTTCCCCCCTCCTTCCGCCCCACTTCCCCCCTCCCTATGCCCTGCTTCCCCACTCCTTCTGCCATGCTTCCCCCACCCTTCGCCCTGCTTCCCCCAACCCTATGCCCTACTTCCCCACTCCTTCTACCATGCTTCCCCCCTCCCTCTGCCATGCTTCCCCCCTCCTTCTGCCATGCTTCCCCCCTCCTTCTGCCATGCTTCCCCCCTCCCTCTGCCATGCTTCCCCCCTCCCTCTGCCATGCTTCTCCCCTCCTTCTGTCATGCTTCTCTCATCCCTCTGGCCTGCTTCCCCCCTCCCTCCGCCCTGCTTCCGCCCTCCTTCTGCCATGCTTCCCCCCTCCTTCTGCCCCGCTTCCCCCCTCCCTATGCCCTGCTTCCCCACTCCTTCTGCCATGCTTCCCCCCTCCCTCCCCCATGCTTCCCCCCTCCCTCTGCCATGCTTCCCCCCTCGTTCTGTCATGCTTCCCTCATCCCTCTTGCCTGCTTCCCCCCTCCCTCCGCCATGCTTCCGCCCTCCTTCTGCCATGCTTCCCCCCTCCTTCCGCCCCACTTCCCCCCTCCCTATGCCCTGCTTCCCCACTCCTTCTGCCATGCTTCCCCCACCCTTCGCCCTGCTTCCCCCAACCCTATGCCCTACTTCCCCACTCCTTCTACCATGCTTCCCCCCTCCCTCTGCCATGCTTCCCCCCTCCTTCTGCCATGCTTCCCCCCTCCTTCTGCCATGCTTCCCCCCTCCCTCTGCCATGCTTCCCCCCTCCCTCTGCCATGCTTCCCCCCTCCTTCTGTCATGCTTCCCTCATCCCTCTTGCCTGCTTCCCCCCTCCCTCCGCCATGCTTCCGCCCTCCTTCTGCCATGCTTCCCCCCTCCTTCCGCCCCGCTTCCCCCCTCCCTATGCGCTGCTTCCCCACTCCTGCCCCGCTTCCCCCATCCCCATGTGCCTCTCCTCTCCCTCTCGATGTACCTTTCCACCCATCGCTCATCCCTTTGTTTCCACTTCAAGCATGACCAGTTCGGGCTCAGAGCAGGGCTGACGTTTCAAATTTAGGTACCCTGATGTCCACCTAAAAAAAAAAATTTAACACTGAAGGCATATTTTCCAGAAAAGCAGCACCCTGATTGCTCAGTGTTGGGAAGTTATACAGTCTGAGTGTTCAGGGTCGAGAAGTCACGATCAGGGTACGTGTAGGGTGCGCTGTGCATTATCGAAACTGAACTTTGATGGCGAATCTATTCTGTGAAAGGGCGAATGTGCAATGTTAGATACATTTTACTGTGATTGGTCAAGACCTTTGTGCTCTGACAGCTCAAATCTGCTGTGTCAGGGCCATTTCGCTGTGATTGGGCAAATTCGTTGCTCCGTACAGCGCGAATTCGCATTGTCAACGCGAATTTTTAATGACGCTGGTGCTGTGACAAGTCAAGACGGGTTTGACTCACCAGTTTGACCCTCACTAGTGAACCTCGGAGGTGGGTGTATCGAAAGAAAATTTCGAGGAGGCTTCCTCCCGATAAACTTGCATGCAGGGACCAAAGAAAGCATTCTCTGTAGTGACAGACTCCATAAATGACTAACACTTAGGCCTATTACACTGAATCAGGGGCCATAAAACAATAACTCTGAGGCTCTTAGTGATGAAAATTTGACTACTCTGGAATTCCATTTTTCACAAACTCGATGGTCTGATCCGTCAGACTAATCAGACTATTTACTCTGATAGCGTCAGCCCTGGCTCAGAGGAGTTTGGCAGAGTAAAGGGAGCAGCCGCAGGCTCAAGGAAGTGTTGAGCGAACGCTGAACAGCTAGAGCAGGAGACAACACTCGCATTTACCTTGTGTACACCATATTGCACAAGTTGCATACCTCAGTGTTGTGCCCAGTTGCATCATGTAATAATGCTTTATCTATAAGATGCAAGGTTTGCAATTTACAGGTGTTATCTGTGTCATCAAAGCTATTGCATGTGCTGGAAATCTTGAATGAACTGTTATAACATGCTATCGGATCGTTTGATTGATACACTATGCCACACACAAGCCGATAAAATTGTATACTTGTATTTAGTTCCACCAAGGTGCAAAGAGCTTCACTCAACGCTGAGCGAACGCTGAACAGCTAGAGCAGGAGACAACACTCACATTTACCTTGTGTACACCATATTGCACAAGTTGCATACCTCAGTGCTGTACCATGTTGCATCATGTAATAATGCTTTATCTATAAGATGTAAGGTTTGCAATTTACAGGTGTTATCTGCATCATCAAAGCTATTGCATGTGCTGGAAATCTTGAATGAACTGTTATAACATGCTATCGGATCGTTTGATTGATACACTACGCCACACACAAGCCGATAAAACTGTATACTGGTATTTAGTTCCACCAAGGTGCAAAGAGCTTCACTCAATAACAACACGGCCCTCCTCCTGCCATTGTGGTGCTGTCAAGGAAAAAATAAAAACAGAAAGGAGAGGAGAAACAGAGGTTAAGCTGGAGGGTTAGGAAGGGTGAGCAAGGGGGGGGAACGCTAGCACGGGGGAAAGGAAGGGTAAGCAAGGGGGGACCATAATGAACAGCAGGGAAATGAGGGGCCGCTGGGTGGAAAATGAGGGAAAGGAAGGGAGGAAAGGCAGGACAGAGAGGAAGGGAGGATGTGCAGAAGAGAGGAAGGGAACAAGGGAGGAGATTGGATGAGGGAGGGAATGAGAAGAGGAGACGAGGGAGGGAGGCGAGGGAGGGGATGAATGTGCTATGCAGGGACGGAGAGCGGGGCCTCGCAGCCTCACAGAAAGGGTTCGCGGGGAGAAATAGACGGTTATGTGAGGGCGTAGAGATCCTCGCAGCCTACTCGAGCAGCGGCGCATGATGCGTCTGAGGAGGGGAGGGGAGGGCATTAACGGGTACTGTATGATCACGCTGAGAAAGGAGGGGAAGCAAGTGCGGAAAGGAGGGGAAGCATGGGCGGAAAGGAGGGGAAGCAGGGGCGGAAAGGAGGGGAAGCAGGAGCAGAAAGGAGGGGAGGCAGGGGCGGAAAGGAGGGGAAGCAGGGGCGGAAAGGAGGGGAAGCAGGGGCGGAAAGGAGGGGAAGCAGGGGCGGAAAGGAGCATGTGCTGCGTGTCGCCATCAGTGCGAGCTGCTCGTCGCCCGGGCTCCACCGCTGATAGTCGTGCAGTCACGCGGGCTGCTCATCACCTGGTGCGCGCGCTGCGCGTCGCCTGCAACGTGAGCTGCTACTAGATGCCTGGAGCGGGTGCTGCTCGGCGCCTGGTGCGTGTGCCAGGGACTCGCGAACTGCGTGCAACTATCCGCTCCTTCGCCCGTTGAGCGCTCTGCTCCACGTCCAGCGAGGCTCGTAACGTTTCCTTTGTCGACATCTCTTTACTGACATAAGTCTAAGTAGGTGGCGTTGTTAGAAAGGTGTGCGTTGCTCTGGCGTTCTATTTCATCTCCAAAATGTTCTGACCCAAAAGGGGCCCCCAGGTGACTTCCGGGCAAGATTGGGGACATCTCAGAAAGTGATCTATAAGTTACTTTTGGAACTGACACTTTAGGCTAGTGGTAGGTCAGAGGGGCTAACCCAAAAGCGACTTCCGGGTCAGGTACGGGTCAGGTACGGGTTAAGATTTTGGCGGGAAAAGTCAGGTACGGGTCAGGTACGGGTTAAGATTTGGCGGGAAAGTCAGATTTGGGGCAGTTTCGGGTCACACGTGGCCAGCGCATGGCCTGACTATATCCCCTTTACAGTGTGTTTTTTATGTAATAAGCATTTTTAGTTAGAATTGTATAATATATTTTCCACAATACATCAAAACATTAAATAACATGACTATGTAGAAAACAGGGCCTTGTACAGTGGCCCCAAAATATTAAAAACGCTGCAGTGCTAAACCAACCTGAGAACACAAAACCGGCATAACAAATGAGATAAATCCAGCTAAAGAATATAAAAACTAGAACAATCATTTAGCACTTATCACCTTATAATTTGGAAACATCACCTTCATTGCTTTGTGCCCCAGAATAAGATCAGGCATGGCATAATAAAAATAATCTTCAACGGGTGTTTTCCATGTCAGGTTGTTGTAAGGGACGAAAAGCTGCATAATTAACCAAATTAATCTTCACAAAATATATGCATCTGCATGTAGAGACTAAATAAAAGGAGACATGACACAAGCTGACAGCAAACTGCAAGGATAGGTGAATTTATATATCTCAATGGCGGCAAGATAGTGTCAGAACATATCTATAGCTTATACTGCTGTGTAGGCTGTAGTGGGGTATCCCATAGGGGGTACAACCCAGTTAGGGTTTCATATTTGTACTGCTTTCATTCATAGTTCATTCATTCCTGTTTTCCTATTTTCACATGGTATAGAGCGGGTCCTACCTTAGGACCGTTGTCTGGGCCCACCGACGCGCGCCCCGAGGCGCGCCCTTTTTTTAGCGACCCCTCGGGTCGCCTTTTCACTCGCGGCCCCGCCGCCTCCTCTGACGCGGCTTTGCCGCCTCCCCTGACGCGGCCCAGCCGCCTCCCTTGACGCGGCCCCGCCGCCTCTTTTAACGCGGCCCCGCCGCCTCCCTTGACGCGGCCCCGCCGCCTCCCTTGACGCGGCCTCGCCGCCTCCCCTGACGCGACCCCGCCGCCTCCCCTGACGCGGCCTCGCCGCCTCCCCTGACGCGGCCCCGCCGCCTCCCCTGACGCGGCCCCGCCGCCTCCCCTGACGCGGCTCCGCCGCCTCCCCTGACGAGGCCCCGCCGCCTCCCCTGACGCGACTCCGCCGCCTCCCCTGACGCGGCCCCGCCGCCTCCATTGACGCGGCCCCGCCGCCTCCCCTGACGCGGCCACGCCGCCTCCTCTGACGCGGCCCCGCCTCTGCTGCCGACGGCCCCGCCGCTGCACTCTACGGCCCGCCGCTGCACCCTGCCGGCCCGTCGCTGCTCCTGCCGGCCCGCCGCTGCACCCTGCCGGCCCGCCGCTGCTCCTGCCGGCCCGCCGCTGCACCTACCGGCCCGCCGCTGCACCCATCGGCCCGCCGCCTCTTACGGCCCGCCACTTGCACCTGCCGGCCCGCCGCTGCACCTGCCGGCCCGACGCTGCACCTGCCGGCCCGACGCTGCATCTCCCGGCCGAGCCGCCCCAGCAGCCGAGCCGCCCGGGACCCGAGCCGCCCTGCCGCCGAGCCGCCCGGGAGCCGAGCCGCCCTGCACCCGAGCCGCCCAGCCGCCGAGCCGCCCGGGAGCCGAGCCGCCCTGCACCCGAGCTGCCCAGCCGCCGAGCCGCCCGGGAGCCGAGCCGCCCTGCGCCCGAGCCGCCCAGCCGCCGAGCCGCCCGGGAGCCGAGCAGCTGTGCACCCGAGCCGCCCGGTCGCTGAGCCGCCTTTCTGCTGACTGCACGACCTGCCCTGCCTGGTGAGCACTGTCCCACTGACACTGCGAGCTCTTTCCCTACTGCTTGCACTGCGTCGCTGTCGTCACCATGGCTACCCCTAGTGTCCTAGCTTTTGACGCTGAGGGTCGCGCCATTGATTTTGAGGTCTGGTTAGACGACCTGCAGCTGTTCTTACAGTGCGACAGGGCTGACGACCTTTCTCTCTTTGACCTCACCTCTGGCGCCTCTCCTGCCCCTGCTGCTGATGCTGATCCCGCTGTCCGCTCTAAGTGGGCCACCCGCGATGCTGCTGCACGTCTTGCTGTGCGTCGCCACCTCCCTACCTCTGAGCGTGCGCACTTTAGTCAGTACAAGAGTGCTCAGACCTTGTACGACGCTGTAGTTGCGCGCTACTCCTCCCCTGCCACTGCTGCACTGAGCCGTCTCATGCTTCCCTACCTCTTTCCTGACCTCTCTGCCTTTCCCACTGTCGCTGACCTCATTACGCACCTCCGCACTAGTGACACTCGCTACCGCGCCGCCCTTCCTGCTGAGTTCTGCGCTAAGAACCCCCCCCCCATGTACATCGCTCTCTACTACGTAGTCGCACGCCTCCCTGACTCCCTTCGCGTCGTCAGGGACCACTTTCTCGCAGTCTGTCCCACCACTCTCACCGTCGACCTCCTCGAGAAGGCCCTCCTTGCAGCGGAGAAGAGCATAGTCGCTGTAGGTGCTTCTCGTGGTGACCCTCGCACCCCCATCTTTGAGGGGTGCTCTCCTTCCCCCTTGCTGCCCTCTGTTGCCTCTGCTGCTGCTGCCGACCTGCTTGGTCTTGAGTCGGTCGGCGCGGCGTCTGCCCCTAGTGGGAGACGTCGCTCCAGCAAGGGCAAGGGGGGCAAGGGCGCGGGTGGAGCTGGAGGGGGCGGTGGCGGTGGCGGCGGTGGCGGCGGAGGGAGTGGGGGTGGCGGCGGGGCTAGTGGCGGGGGTGGTGGTGGTGGTGGCGGCAGCAGCGGCGGAGACGGTGGTGGTGGTGCCAGCGGTGGTGGTGGAGGCAGCGGCGGAGGTGGAGGCGGCGGAGGTGGAGGCAGTGGAGGCGGCAGCGGAGGAGGCAGTAGTGGTGGAGGAGGTGGAGCTGGTCGGGGTGGTACCCAGCAGCGTAGCGGCGGTGGTGGTGGCCAGCGCTCGCACCGGCAGCAGCAGCAGCGCTCGCGGGACATCCCTTCGCCTCAGCAGCTTCGTGAGTGGTACGCTGGGCGTCAGAGGGGTGGGGGTACTGGTCCCTGCACCTACGTTCTTCGTTCCGGCGACCGCGCGGGTGAGCAGTGTGGGGGTGCCCACGCCACCCAGCGCTGCTTTGGCCGCCTGACGGACGCTTGGCGTCAGCAGTTCCCTGGGGCTAGTGAGATCCCTCGCTGGGATGAGCTTCTCAGGGCTGGTGTAGCGATCTTTGATCTTGATTTTGATGCTATCCTTACTGCTATGTATGTTGTGGATTATAGTGAGGAGAATGAGGGTTACCGGTGTTTTCAGCCCGACCCGGGCATTGGTACTGCTGCGCTAGGTGCTTGTGAGGCTGCTGCTCTAGGTGCCAGTGCGTCTGCGCTCTCAGGTACTGGTGAGACTGCGCTCTCAGGTACTGAGTCGTCCTCGTCCTCCCTCACTTTCACACTTGACTCCGGAGCTTCTCGCTCCTTCTTTCGAGACCGCACTACCCTTTCGCCGCTCGCCAGGCCGGTTGCGGTCTCCCTTGCTGACCCCTCTGGGGGTCCTGTCCTGTCTCACTTCTCCACTGTCCTCCCGTGTCCGGCTGCCCCTTCGGGCACCCTGTCGGGTCTGTACCTTCCCTCGTTCTCTACGAACTTGGTGAGTGGAGCGGACCTGCAGGATGGGGGTGTTCACCAGTTCACTCCTGCGCGTCAGAGGGTGACCCACTGCACGGAGGCTCGCACAGGCCGACACCTGGCCACGTTCTCACGTCGGCCGGGGTCGAGTCCCTACACCCTGACCGTTGAGTCTCCTCCTGTCCCTGCGTCTGGTCAGGTGGCTGCGTCGGGTCAGGTACTTGCTGCTGCGTCCCGGTCAGGTCCTGAGTCTGCCCCCTGTTCTTGTCGCCTCCTGTCTCACGAGACTCTCCTGTGGCACCACCGTCTTGGCCACCCCTCCTTGCCCCGTCTTCGGAGCATGGCTTCCCGTGTCCTTGTCTCTGGTCTTCCCCAGTCTCTCCCTCCTCTCCCCTCCGGGCCAGGACCTTCCTGTGTCCCCTGTGTCGAGGGTCGCCTCCGGGCTACTCCTCACTCCTCCCACTTCCCCCCGACAGAGGCTCCCCTGCAGACGCTTCACATGGATGTGTGGGGCCCAGCCCCCGTCCGTGGGCAGGGTTACGAGCGCTACTTCCTGTTGGTGGTTGACGACTACTCGCGTTACACCACAGTCCTCCCCTTGCGCAGCAAGGGTGCGGTCACTGAGGTGCTGATCGACTGGATCCGCGAGGCTCGTCTCCAGCTCAGGAAGAGCTTCGGCTCGGACTTTCCTGTTCTGCGTCTGCACTCTGACAGAGGCGGAGAGTTCTCTTCTCGCCTTCTGCGAGACTACTGTCGTGCACGGGGGATCCGCCAGACCTTCACGCTTCCGGACTCACCACAGCAAAATGGGATTGCTGAGCGCCGCATTGGCATGGTCATGGATGTCGCTCGTACGTCCATGATGCATGCGGCTGCCCCCCATTTTCTGTGGCCGTTTGCGGTGAGGTACGCGGCGCATCAGCTCAACCTTCACCCCCGGGTCTCTCGGCCAGCGATGTCCCCAGCCTTGCTGTGGACGGGGAAGGTTGGCGATGCGTCTGTGTTCCGTGTCTGGGGATCTCGGG